TGGCAGCGAGGAAGGAGGTTACCTCTCCGGGGGACTTGGTCAACTTGTCGACGGCCAGAAAGGTCCTGACAACTTCAGATTGGACATCAGCGGGAACGGGAAAGGTAACGGCAATGCCTTCGTGCTAGATAAGATTACGGTTGCCGTTAGATCGTGTCCAGATTAGCACTATAGAGACATCTTAGTATGATTCAAGTGATACCGTTTCAATCTCTCTCTCTCTCTCTCTCTCTCTCTCTCTCTCTCTCTATCTTTCTGTCTCGCTTACTCATTCATTCACCTTCTAACTGATCTCTCACAAGCTTACTTTGAGTCTACAAGATGAGCCAAGCCGAAAGAGAATGTTTGAATATACCTACTGCTTTTATGAGACACTGATTTTATCATGTCGTCTACATACCATCCATCGTCTGGCGGTGTATTTTCTCGACGTTATTAGCAGTGTCGAGACGACTAAATTTAAATGGCTTAAGTTAATTTTATATAACAATTTGATATTCATAAATATTATTAAAAATAATAAATTTATTCAATATTCTTAAATTCATTTGTTAAAACTTTTATAGAAATTAAGATAAAAGTTTTTATTTTATTATTACTATTATTATTACTATTACTATTACTAATATTATTACTACGACTACTACTACTACTACTACTACTAGTATTACAATGAGGATAATAGAAGATTATACTGAGTAGGATAATTCATCATTATCATTATTAACCAAATAATCCTTTATGTGAATTCAAGAATTTCCTTCATTTCATCCAATTTCCAAATCATTACTTCTCTATATCCGATCTACGAAAATTTATTACATTTACTTTTGCATAAATTATTATCGTGATGGTAAATATATGAAGGTAAATAATATTACATCCGATCGTCTCGAGTTTATTCAAAATCGGTAGAGGAACACGGTTGGAGAAGTTTTTCTTTTTTCCTTTTCTTTTCTTTCTTTTTTGTTTTTTTTTTTTTAATTACATGGCAACAACTCCCCTTGGATAATATTTTCCAACGTACCGGTCCCTACCTGCCGTTTATAATTATACCTTTAAAATAGATTATGGTAGGAAACATAAAATGAAAACAAGGGAAATTATTTATCAAGTTTCGCATATTTCGTTAATATCCTATCCATCGGGCAATGTCGATGTTAGGGTTGCGAGTGAGCTAACGGAACGAGGAAAATTTCATGCGGCGCGACGGAGCAAGGTAGTTGATAACAGGTGCGTTTGAGAGTTTAGAACGGAAGAGAGAAATATTCTATAGGTAGGGATAATCTTTCGATGCGACGAAAAAGGAAGGAAGGAAGGAAGGAAAAGCTTGGACCCTCGAATCCAAAACATGTTCCACGAGCACACTCAAATCGGTTCCAATTTACATTTATATTGAAGCACCATACATAGTCTGGAAGCCGCATTGCCTGTTTATCCACTCTCTGGATACATTTGTATCTTTCCATTTATGCCAAGGGATATCTCGGAGCGGTCAACGTCTCGCATCGTATCTATATGTCCTTCAATTTTTTTTCCATTCCTTCCTAAACTTTTAAGTTCATGGCAATGCCAACGTTCGAGCCACTCAAATAATTCGAAAGCCAAAAAAAAAGAAAAAACACCAGAGAATGAGAACGAGACTTTTACGAACGAGATACGTTTGATTGTGCTAAAAATCAAGGGAGAAAAAAAAAAGAAATAAAAATAACAACAATAACGACAATAACAAGAGAAAGGAAAAAAAAAAAGCATCATTTCTATAGCTTTCTCGTCGTTTCACTTTTTCCTTATTATTTTTCACTTACGAATAAATAATTCAATAAATTATTAAATTATTCTCGAGTATTTCGAGGAAAAGAAAAAAAAGAAAACATTTAAAATGGATAACATCGTTACTCGGATCTATGAATTTTATTAGAGTTCTATTTGGAAAAAAAAATATATATATATATATATATATATATATATAAACGTTAAGAGAAGAGAAAATCATCGTGCGGTAAGCACTAGACACCTAGACATTGTTGCTTATCTTACGACCCTCGTGAAGCTTTAGAATTGATGGTAGATAGCGAACGAAGGCACCGACGACACAGGAAACTGAAAACTATTTACTCCTGGGACAATATTAAGGATGGTTGCCATAGTGGTAGTGGTAATACTGGTAACTACTACTAGTAGTAGTAGTAGTAGTAGATTCTATGGGGGGTTTATATGAAAGACGGATAAGTCAAAGCGATATAACACACAAGAGAAGGTACCAAGGACTTTGAGAATATACCAACGTAGGGTAGAAGGAACTAAAGGATGAGTTGTTGTCGAAGAACGATCCGAATGGTCTATGATTTTGATACATACAACATGTAAACGGCTGAAACGATTGATATTCTACGTAACGTATAATAAACTCAACGACAAAAAAAAAACAAAAAAAAAACAAAAAATATTAATTCCCAAAAATAAAGGAAAAAAAAAAAGAAAATAGATTTATTTTCAAATTATATAATTTTCTTATTACAATAAATTCGAATATTTAACAAAGGCAAGATATTGTTATAGTCGTTCTATCATGCTTTAAATTAAAAGCTTCAAATTTTGTCTTGTATCATTTGCAATATATTAAGCTCATTATTAATTAAACTCATTAGCACAGTACACTGTGCGGGTACTACCTGATAATGGAAATATTAACACCGATAAGGTAAACATTTTGCAAGCGAATTAAGCGAGAATTACCTCTAAAACGAGGACTATGTTCCTCCTTTTTTCTCTCTACTTTTTGTTTCTTTTTTCTTTTTCTTTTCTTTTTTGTTTTCCTTTTTTTCTCTTTCGGTGAAATTAACAAATTAATGCTCCTTAAATTAAGTCTTGCAGCTTATTGCAGCAAAACATGAGACGAGTTGAATTAAATCAAAATTATATGATACTTTTATATAGTAAATATAATATCTGCAATTCTTATAAATCAATAAATATAATTAATGGTTTCTATACCGGTAAAATGACATACGTTGGAATAAAAATAATGGGATAATGGTTGGTTGAAAGAAGGAAAGGATCGAAGTTTTATCTTTTCACGTTGAGTTTATGGTTGTTGCAGCCCATTTTCAATCCACGTATTCCTTTAGGAAAAAGGAAACGTGTTCTCCCAATGCCGCACGCACTCGTAGAAAGAATCTAAATGGCGGGAGGGTTGGTAAGAGAAAAAGCTGTGCAATAACTGCTTCTGCGGTTGGTTCGTGCCTCGAAAACTCTTGCATTCAACCGTTCCGTTGTTTTCCAACAAAGCTTATTTACCGGATGTCACGTTAAAGGACTTCTGCGATGAAAATAAGTAAAATTAGAAGGGCAAAAAAGAAAAAAAAAAGAAAAGAAAAAGAAAGAAAGAAAGAAAGAAAAAAAAGAGAAAGAAGAAAACAAAAACGAGACGAAGGAATCTACTCGTCTACTCGATCCCAACGCGATATTAATGTAGAACATTATTTTCCAGGCACGATTTATTATGACCAATTCAATTCTATAATACGTCCATTTAATTAGTATAAAAGTGCATTATGCCGCGGAATAAATTAGTTATGAATTTATAATAATTCCTATACATACAATTAATATATATATATATATATATATATATATATATATATATATATTGATCGAAAGATACGTAATGAATATCTCGAGGAAAGTTATTATTAAAGCCAATTCGATTTAATATACTTGTTAAATTTCAAGAGTAAACGTTTAAAATGAAAGCTCTTCCATGAATGAATACACTCTTACACGTATGCAGATATGCATGAATACACGCATACATATATACATATATATATATATGTGTGTGTGTGTGTGTGTAAAAGAAGAATGAGAGAGAAATAGATAGGTAGAGAGAAATTTTTATACGCGTTACTCGATACCTATCTCTAAATCTTCAATCGAGATGAAAACACTCATTGGCCGGACGTAGAGGTAGAACGTAGTTTCATAATTAAATCAACAATATAATGAAAATGCGGTTATCCATTCGCGATCAAATTCGCGTCACGTAGGAGCCGTCACTTCGCTACGATCACGCGAGACGTTTCATTTTTCGTCGGTACGTGCACCGATAAAATTATCGGATATAATACTTTTCAAGAGGACGCTACATTGGGACGGATCGGTACTGGAAGGGAAATGGGGAGTGAGCGATTCGATAAATTTACTTTTTCTCTTTCTCTCTCTCTCTCTCTCTCTCTCTCTTTCTCTCTCTTTTCATTTTTTTTCCTATTTTTATTTTTTTAAACTAACTTTATTGAGCGCTAGATTGACAGCCTCGTTCTATTTCGTTTCGAAAAACTGCTTTTTATTTTTTTTATTTTTTTTTTTTTTTTTTACTTTTCCTCCTTTTTTTTTTTTTTTTTTAACTATTCCAAATGAATTATATAAATTCGTACATTTATTTGAACGTATCTCGTACTAAAAATCTTGAATTAATCAACGACCATCCTCATACGATATCGTTTAAATTTATTTTCAAGAGATCAACTTTATCTACTGTATTAATAAACTTTCGCTATGACTTTGTGATTCTACATATATATATATATATAAATATATATTTTGTTTTTATTTCAGGATACGAATGGGTCGGATGGAAGAACGACACGCCAAATATGTTGGGCAAACCAGTTGAGATAACGTTTGAGTTCGATTACTCAAGAAACTTCACTGCCATACACCTGCACATGAACAATTATTTCACTAAGGACGTACAGGTAAACGTAATAAATGAATAAGTAAATAAAAAATAAAAAAAAAAATAAAAAAAAAAAATAAAAAAAAAAAAACAAGAAAAAATTAATAAATAAATAAATAAATCAATCAATTAAAAGAAGAAGAAGAAGAAGAAGAAGAAGAAAGAAAAAGGAAAAGAAAAAGATAAATAAAGAAAAAGAAAAATTTATTGTTATATTATTTCCCTTTTCTTTTGGCGAGATGAGTCGAGATAGAGTTTTAGACTCTAAACGAAGACGTTGCTTTAACTTGTCAAGCCAAACAAAGTCTTCTTTGTCTTCTCACTCTGGCTGGCATTTCACGCTTGAAACCTCCGTAGGTATTCTCCTACGCGAAGGTTTATCTCGGCGTCGGTGGAAACCAGTTTAACGGGGAACCTGTCCATTTCTCTTACATACCAGACTTGGTGTTGGAGCAAGCCCGCGAGGTTACTATAAAGCTTCACTCGCGTGCCGCTCGCTTTCTCAAGCTTCAACTATATTTCGCGGCACGGTGGATCATGCTCAGCGAAGTAATCTTCGAATCAGGTAAGTTACAACATTCATTCAAACGTAGAAATCCATCAAATATAGAAATTATATTTGACAATAGTAATATATTATATAGAAAATAAAATTAAAATAATATCATTTAATTGAATACCGATAGATATCAGATCGAATTAATAATAATACGGATAAAATTCTATTTATATTCATACGTCAATACAAATTAAATTTATATTTTTATTTTAACCCCAATAAACATCTCTGACAATATTTATAATTATATATACGTATAGATATTAGAATATTGGAACGATTAAAAAATTTTTATCGTTTCATTGAAAAATTATTAATTGCAATCCCTTGATATGTTACAGTTCTTTCGGAATGGAACAACACTGACGACGAGGAAGCAAAGAACAAAAGTTCCATTGTACTAGCGACTGGCAGCCCCTATCAGAATAACGAGGGTCCGTTGCAAAGGGACGAAGTGAAGGCCACTTTTAATAAGGAGGAAAACAACGATAACGCCTGTGAGTTTTACCGGTATCAGGCATTGTTTCACTTGGGGAAAAAGAAAAAAAAAAAAAAAAAAAAAAAAACAGAAGAAGAAAAAAAGAGAAAAAGAAAAAAAAAATACTCTTATGCTTTTTCGCGACATTTAACAACAAGCAAATACTAACTTTAAGCTTAATGATTACGTCTACAGACTGTTGAAAGTACATCCGATAAAGAATATATATGATACGTATAAGTCACATTTCTTAAGGTGATTGTTGGTAAAGAAAAATATTTTACGAACGCTAAATCGATCTTATAATGAATGAAAAAAAAAAAAAAATAATAATAATAATCAGATTAAATCGATTTATATTGGAAAAATGAATTTCTAATTATCAGCTCGAATAATTATTTTCTATTGTCGAACTATTAAAAAGATAGATAATAAAAACGTTTCGTTTGGATCGTTGCTCAAAGGTAGAATATATCAATAGCCATGGGAAATCGTTTACAGGTTACAAAAAAAAAAAAAAAAGAAAGAAAAGACAAAGTAAGAAAAGAAAGAAAATTGAAAAAACAAAAACACACTTGAGAATCACTCGGTCGAGTTTTCTTTCTTATTTTTCTTTCTTGTTTCTTTTTCTTTTTTTTTCTCTTCTTTCTTTTCTTTTTTTTTTTTTTTCTTTTTTCTTTTCCAAGGCAGAACTAACGGCAAGGAATGAAGCCAATTAAAACGATTAATTTCTTCCACGACTTTATTCCTTGACAGTCTCTTCAGTTAGTATCGGTGTCCTTCGAACTTTTAAAAGGATAAGGAAGGAAAGATCAAAGTTTCCCATTAATATCTTCCATCGAGTTGTTTAAAAGAGAAAATCTATATCATTTTACTATCCTTCTTTATCAATTTCTACCATCCTTTAGACCTTCAAGCAATGGAGATAAAGGGAAAGAATCTAAAATGAATTTAATAAGTAAGAGTTTTCTTATCTTAAAAATATGAAAAATACAGAAAGAGAGAGAGAGAGAGAGAGTGAGAGAGAGAGAGAGAGTGAGAGAAAGAGAGAGAGAGAGAGATAGAATATGAGCAAAATGAAAAATCAAAGTGGACCTTTTTTTTTTTTTTCTTTCCTTATACCTTCTTCTCTTTCTATTCTTTCATTTTAAATACGACATGCCTAATGTTTCATTACACGTTGCTCCATATTTGCACCCGGGGTAAAAGTATTCATCCATGTGATAATACGCGAGTAAAAAGCGGAAAAGTACGAGGAAAGGAAAGGGGTAAAAATGAGAGAAAAGAAAAGAGAACGAAAGAGTGAGCGAATGAGAGAGAGAGAGAGACAGAGAGAGAGAGAGAGAGGGAGTGAGAGAGAGAGAAAGAAAATAGAGAAAGAGGTAAGCTAGAAAAGGAGAAAAGTAACGACACGCTTTTCTCGAGCCGAGCCGAGGCGTACGTTTTGAGCTGTACGTTAACAAACGACGCACTGCAAAAGCTTCAAAAGAGGCTTCGTTTCACCTACCTCCGAGTAGTAATAACTTAAAGGGAAATGAAGTTACCAATCGCGAAAGTTCTCCTTTCTCGAAAATGCTGACGCGCTCGAGCTCATTTCTTTCTCTTTTTCTTTTTCATTTTCTTTTTTTCTCTTTTTTTTCTTTCTTTCTTTTTTTTTATGTTCTTTTTCTTTTCTTTTTCTTCTTCTTCTTCTTCTTCTTCTTCTTCTTCTTCTTCTTCTTCTTCTTCTTTCCTTCGACTCGGCAGGCAAGGCGAAAAGGTATGCATTTAAGTTGAATTTCAATTTCGTTATAACCATTGGATTTCCCTATTTTTCTTTTTTTCTTTTTCTTGATTTCTTTTTTTTCTTTTTCTTCTTCTTCTTCTTCTTTTTCTTCTTTTTTTTTTCCTACGCAAAAATGAATTTAATAAATCTTCCATTTATTTCGTAAATACCTATCCATGAAAAATGTCCGATCGATCGTTCCTATCTTTTTTTATTCTTCTCTTTCTTTCTTTTTTTTATTTATTTATTTATCTTTTTTTTTATTTTTGTTTTTTTTTTGTTTTTTTTTTGTTTTTTTTTTTTTTTTTTTAATTAGACGTTAAATATCCCGAATAAAATTCTAATAATATTCGTTTATTTGCATGTTTAAAATGATCGCAGGAAAAGTTCGTGTAAAACCTGAGCTGGCTTTTTATTAACGAGTAGGGGAAAAAAAATTCAATAAAGGTACGACATGAAATATGTTTAAGAGAGAGAAAGAAAGAGAGAGAGAAAAAAGAGAGAGAGAGAGAGAGAGAAAAAAGAGAGAGAGAGAGGGAGAGAGAGAGAGGAAGAGAAAGAGAGACTAGCGTTGTACTATGCTCCTGATGAAATCAGTTGGATAGACGGTACATGGGATAGGCCGAACATTTTGTAATCAGATCGATCGATCGACAAGGTGCCGCTCAAGCGGAGTATAGGTTGTGAGCTTCGCGTCCAGCACAATCATCATTATCGTCCGATCGTACATTATGCGGGTCTGCCTGTAACGATGCTTCCTAGCGTAATAGGACGCGTGGCCTTATGCGTTAGGTGACCACTTTGTGTGATGTGACGGCTTTATAAGTACGTAGGTATATACATACGTATAGATAGATAGATAGATATATATATTTCTATTAGAATATATATATACATATACATACATACATATATAGATATATATATATATATATATATATATATATATATATATGTATTCGTACAGAAATTTATATACCTTAACATAAATGTGGCAAATGTAATATATATATATATATATGTATGTGTGTGTGTGTGTGTACATATACGATATATTGAAATATCTAATAATATAATCCTAAATGTAAATTAATCGATTTATTACGATCGAAATTATTTTCCAAGAGGATATTATTTATCTATCTGTATATTAAATTTAATGTCGATTCGTATCGAAAAGAATTTATTTTTTCTCTTCTTTTTTCTTTTTTTGTTTTTCTTTTTTTTTTTTTTTTGCTATGAGATTAAAATTACATCTCACTTTTAATAATTTCTATCGATTTCCAATCGTTATTATTTATAATAAATAAGATGAAATTTATTGAAACTCATCGAAAGAATAATCGTTTAATATTACGAATAAAATACATTTAAATAGAAAAACTATTATATTACGTTGAAACATTGAACAATAAAAGTTTCTATGTAATTGCATTTCGTTATATAATAATAAGAATTTGTTTTGTTAATAATGCGATCATCTTTGTCGGAAGAAACTTCCTTTAGTTATCGATTCTTAATCTAACAATACGTATTATTACGTTCAGTTCCAGATAAGAAACAAGAGCCTGAGACAAAACAGTTTGTCGGTTTGGTCATTGGATTATTAACAACGGTGATCATAATGCTACTTGCCGCCATCATGTTTATATTCTATCGAAATCGTAGATTGAAGGCTGCTCTTGCACCGCCAACATTTTACGATCAACAAGCCGATCTCAAGGTAAATTAATTTTCGCACGTATTTTCTTTTTTTCTCTTTTTTTTTCTTTTTCTTTTTTTTTTCCTACTAATACAATAATATCATTGCATGCATCCATTTAAAAACACGATTCTTCGGTCCTTTCGCTTCTCCCCCCCCCCCAAAAAAAAAAAAAAAAAAAGGGAAAAAGGAAAAAAAAAAAGAAAAGAACTATTGCTTCGTTCGTCTCTTTCTCTTTATCTTTCTTTCTTTTTTTCTTCCTTTCTTTCCCTCCCCACCCCCTCCCCCCTCTATCTCTCTCCCGTTCTTTTTTGTTCTTTTTTTTTTTCTTTTATTTTTTTTTTACTTTTTTCTAGCCCTTCTTTTCTTCCCTTTATCTTTTCTTTACGCATTTATTATCTTATCTTATTGCGAGATATTTACAAAAGTGAATATCAACTTTTTGATAACTTTGTCCCGCGCATAAATGCGTTTGCGTTTGTGTCTATGGGAATCGAGAATGGGAACTCACGGAAAGTTTGTCCAGAGAGGAAGTCCGCACAAATAGAGAATGTCGACTGGGAATATTACTCTGGAAATACTTTTCCCGAACGGCCGTTATCACGTTCCAATATCTTACAATGAACAAACGGTAAACTAAAGTTCGCTACCGGACCGATATCGTTTCGATCTTGCAAAGGGTAAATGAATGAAACTATCTCTCTCTTTCTCTCTCTCTCTCTCTCTCTTTCTCTTTCGATGAAAGCTGGTTAAAAAAAAAAAAAAAAGAAAAGAAAAAAAAAGAAAAAAAAATAGAAAAAAGAGAGAGAGAGAGAGAGAAATAATGGAAAAAAAAACATCAACGCTTTTTACTCCAAAAAAGAACAAAGAGAGAGAAAAAAGAGAGAAAAGAAAAAAAAAACCCATACAGAAGAACCTTTCAACTTTGTTTCTACATTGTCGTACATTTAATTAATTTAAGTTGATTAGCAACAAAGAAAGAGAAAAAGAAAGAAAGATGAGTATCTCTCTCTTCCTTTGTCTCTCTCTCTCTCTCTCTCTCTCTCTCTCTCTCTCTCTCGCTCTTTCTGTATCTATCTACCTCTTTTATTTTTTTCCGTTTCACTATCCTTATCCTTCTTGGTAACGTAAAACGTCAAGAGCTTGAATTAAATCTTTGAACAGGCACGGATAGTCCATGTAGTACTTTCTCTATTACTTCAACGGCAAACTTCAAACCGCCGCGCATATCCATGTCGTAAATTTTGTTCTAACTCGAACCCACTCGAACGAGGGAGAATTATTAAAGACATGTCCATTTCCATTTCAGTTCTCTTTACTCTTTACGTTTATATTTGTACGTGTGTCTCTTTTAGCTTAGGTTATGGAGGAAGAGGTTTGTAAAAAAAAAAAAAAAAAAAAAAAGAAAAAAAGAAAAAGAAAAAAAAAAAAGTTAATAAAAATTTCCTTTCCACTTGGGAATCGAGTTTTATTTATTTTAACGAATAAAAAATAACAAGCGCGCGTCTGGTATGCGCAATGTTCATTAGTATTAAAAAAATAATTCCTCCACAACTTTTATAATAATTTTGACATTAATTATCCACGAATTGTATATTTAAAATTTTATTATATTTCATTGATCAATTTTATTATAATTCATTCACTGATATAATTAACAATTAAAATAATGCTATATATATATATATATTATTCGTCCATTATATACATACGATTTTCATTTAGTTTTCGTTTAGTTAGAAATTTTCCCTTAGGGTGAACGATAAAATGAGATATGCCGGTGTTTAAGAAATATACATCGATCGTTGTTGTCGAGTTAACGCGTTGATCGAGCCATCAGGGCAAAATGATCGGCCATAAGAGGTCAGGAAGTCAGTACAGGACTTTTAGATAGCCTTAACGGGAAAAGAGGGACGTGTAGATAAGTACATAAGGGACCAACAGGAGTTTCTCCTGTGCGCGAGTGTGAGCATGTAATTCAGTACAGGAGTATAAAAAGGAAAAAAAAAAAGAAAAAGCGACGTTGGGTGAAACGTTCGAACGAAGAAAGAGCGAAAGAATGAAAGAGAGAAAGAGAAAGAGAGAGAGAGAGAGAAATGCAAACGTTCGAGCAAGGAAGAGAAACAGAAAGATAGGAAGGAAAAGAGAGAGAGAGAGAGAGAGAGAGAGAGAGAGAGACTCTCGCATAGAATCCCAATGGCTAAGTGGTTATCTTATCTTAACGGTGTGCCGTGGCATCTCACCAGGCTGATTCCTTCGACGCTTCTCCTAAAACGGAAATTAACAACCCCGTAGACTCTTCTACCCTTCGGCAATGCTGCCTCTGACAGCCCTTGCTTGCCTAAGGCCTAACTTTAAAGTACCATATCAATATCAATGGATATTATCTTGCGAATATTATTTGAATGTTTTTTTTTAAAAAAAAAAAAAAAAAAAGAAAAAAAAAAAGAAATAACTTCAAACATTACCACGAAAATTTTTTATCTAAATTCACGAGTATCTATGAATAAATACGTCTGATAATGATTTATTCAATAATAATCCGTCTCTTATATCTTCTATAATTGTATCGAATTAATACGATAAAATTTATTAATAGAATTATATTATTTCAAAAAAAAAAAAAAAAAAAAAAAGAAAGAAAAAACAAAGAAAAAGTATAAGAAAAAAAAAAAGATAAACAAGTATACGGGGTACTATTGATTTGATAATTAGAAAAGAGAGATACATCTTGTGTTCTTCAAAGATCCTATTAAGGGTATTCGAAATATCTATCAGTCAATGGCGTGCTCGCGGAAGAGTCGCCAAAAAAGAGGAAGAAAGAAAAAAAGAAAAAAGAAAAATAAAAAAAAAAAAGAGAAAAGAAAAAATACGAAAAAGTAGAAGGAAGAAAGGAAGAAAAGGAAAATGAAAAAGGAATGAGAATAACAAGTCTCTCGAGAGAGATACCGTGGGAACTAATTAGCCGTACCTCGTCATCGTTCTATCCCTTAGGGATCATTCGTTGTAATAAAACAGCTAATTTCCGAAGTCCCCTCATTTTTTTTTTTTTTACCTTTTTGTTTCTTCGCGTACTCCTCTCTCGATTTTCCTTTTTTTTCTTTCTTCTTCCTATTTTTTTTTTTTCTCATTTCTTTTCTTTTCTCTCTTCTTTCTCTCACCAATCCACCCTCGTCCTTTTTTTTTCCTTTCGACCTCGCGCACCGTTTCGTCGAAAGACAAGGAGAACGAAGGAAGAGATAGAGATAGAGAGAGAGAGAGAGATAGAGATAAAGATAGAGATAGAGATAGAGATAGAGAGAGAGAGAGAGAGACGTGGGCGATAAGAATCTTCATTATCCAATCGTTCGCTTTTTTTTCTCTTTTTGTTTTTTTTTTTTTTTTAGCTACGTTTGCTTTTAAAAACAACTCCGATGCTTAGCATCGGCACGTACGAATTTTCTTCTTAAATGAGAATGCATTCGAATATAAATCTGCATGATTGAATGCGATAATATAATGTCTTTCATTGAATTGCAAAGTATACGTGTATTATATACGAAGAGGATAGTTTGTATATGAACGAGAATGGGACGGGGAGGGAGCGAACGAAAAAGGTGACAGTTTGATAGGAGGGGTAAATGGAAAAAGACAAAAAGAACAATTTTTTTTAGACCCTTCTATGCCTGGACCTTTTCAACCGATACCACAATTTTATTTGTGTATAACCGTGTCCCTTTACGAATAATATCCCTTTGCTCGTTCTTCTTGTTTTACTTTTATTTATTTGTTTATTTGTCTTTTTCTTTTTTTATTTCTTTTTTCTTTTATCTTCTTTCTTTTTTTCTTTTTTTTCTTTTTTTTTTTTTTTTTTTTTTTTAATTTACTTCTCTCTTCCTTATCCTTTTGTTTGTTATCTTTTTCTCCTTTTAATTTTCCTTTTATTTTGTTCGCGTGGTAATATAATGGTCCCAGGATTTCTGAAAAAGAAAGGAAAAAAGAAAAAAAAAAGAAAAAGAAATGAGAAAAAAAAAAAGAAAGAAAAAAAGAAAAAGAGGAAAAAGAAAAGACAAAAAAAAAAAAGAAAAAAAAAACCGGGTTTAAATTAATACGCCCGTGGAAGCACCAGGAATCTCGCTTTATCGGGTCGTTTATTCATTAAAAGCGCGAAACGAAGAGACCCGATCATCGGTTACCGATATTCCTGCAAAGTAATATTGCGTGTTGTTTGTATCCTTTTGTACATCGACATAATTCGTTTCTGCTCTCAGAGTAAAACTCGATGCGCTTATTTATATATATAATATATATATATATATATATATATATATATATATATAAATATATAAATAAATAAATATAACAATAAATATATATATATTTTTTTTTTGTTGTTTTCTTCTTTTCTTTATTCTCTCTAGTTCTCTCTTTCTCTCTCTCTGTCTCTCTCCTTGTCCCTTTTTCCTGTATTTTTTTTTTATATTTGTTGCTTCGCTTTTCGAAATATATATATATATATATATATAAGTATATATACATATATATATATATATGCTCGAAATAAAACCGTTTGTCGGGTGACACGCGATATAACGCGACGCGACCTACATCAGCCACAAATGGAAACGTTTTTATTATAAATGGGCCAGTGAAGAGAGCTGGAGTAGGGAATAGCGGAGATTAGCGGAGAGTTTTACGTTCGAATACATGACACGCAGCTGTAGTATTCATCTTTTTCTCTCTCTCTCTTTCTTTCGGATGAACTCACATGAACATACAAGCACAAACTCTATCTCTCCCCTTCTCTCTCTCTCTCTCTCTTTCTCTCTCTATCTATCTATCTATCTATGTATCTATCTGACTATCTCTCTCTCTCTCCCTCTCTCTCTATTTATCTCTCTCTCTCTCTCTCTCTTTCTCTCTCTCTCTCTATCTCTCTCAGCCCGTTCTTCCTCGTCGATTGACCCAATAAATACGCGCGGATGGATTTGTACGGAACGACATGAACGAGTGAACCGAATGAACGGATAAATCTTACGTTGAGAGATTTTACGACCATTATATGTAGGTACATATATTGTATCAATTTTGTTTGATGCATTCATGAGAACTTGTAAAAGGTCTCAACACTTTGCTTCAATTGCAAAAATCGATAAAAAAAATATAAATATTAACGAACATTTAATCCATGTAATTGCTATACTTAATCTGACGATAAATGTTAAATTTTTATATATATATATATACACACACACAGACACATACATATATATATATATATATAATATATAATATATCGACTTATTGTAAAATTATAATTTATAATCTACCTTTAAGGGTATAATTTTAACATCAATATGTATCAATGAACATACGACAATTCTTTTCTATAAAAATTATTGTCCCATATGTGGCCAGTGAATCCACACACGTATGGTTATATACGTTTCTTGCATAAAAAAATATTTTGTCTCTTAGTCTGATATGCGAAACTGTAACAAGCAGTCAAAAAAAAAGAAAAAAAAATGAAAAAATGAAAAAAGAAAAGAAAGAATAAGGATAAATAATCCAAAAGGGAAAGAAAAAATTATATTTATACGGAAATTAAATCGCAACGTAGTGCTGAACACGTGTATTCATTTTATTTATATTACGTGTATTTGCATAAAAGAAAACAAAAAGAAAAATTGAAAAAAGGAAAAGAAAAGGAAAAACGAAACAAAAAAAAGAGAAAAAAAATTAATACAAACGAATAATCCACGTGTTCTTTATACGTCGAAATAAAAGTTAAAAATCATTGCAGCTTTGTGCCGAACTCGAAACGTGATAGAGGGGGAGGGATGGTTGGCAAAGTCGTTAGGAAAATATTGACTGTAACAGTTCGCTCAGAGATTCAAACTTATTAGCGATCGATACGACATCGATTTGTCGTTAATCGGTCATATCGAAATGAGAAGCTTGAATATGCGATATCACACGCTAGTTTTTCAGACGATTTTAGTGAACGATAATCGTACCGATCAGACAGCTCATACACTTAATCCAAAAGCTAATCGGTCAGCTGATTTTGGCGTTAAGTAGTCACAGATATTCTCGTGACAAATATCTCTCTATAAATTGATTCCCGTATTAACAAAATAAATTGAAATTAATTTGTATTTGTAGATCATCTTTATACAGTTTAATTGATATTTATACATATATATATATATTCTTTCCTCTCTATATATGTTGATTCATTTTCATTCGTCGTTAAATACATTTAAATATAAAAAATACAATTCTATCATTTTTATTTTTTTTTTTTTTTTTTTTTGATATAACGTATCAAATATCGTATAATCGCGTATCACGTTACTTAATTTTTTCATAAAATTTTAATTAAGATATAATTCAATTATTATTTCGACGTGGAATACCATGTAACAACGATATCACGCTTTGTCGTATGTATCTACTTATATTCACTTGCATAAATTCAGGTTATTCACATCTTGAAACAAAACATGAAAAGAGAGAAAAAGAGAGAGAGAGAGAGAGAGAGAGAGAGAGAGAGAAAGAAAAATAGATATGTAGATAAACAAACTTGACGTTCCGAGGGAAAACCACAAAGTGATTTGATCTAGCGGGGAAACATTTAATCGACACTTTGATGAAATCATTTCAAAAGAAAGACAGTGAGAGAGATATAGTTTGTATCGAAAGGTAATCTTGAACAATATACATACACATATATATATATATCGATTATTGAAACGAATATCGATAAATAATCACACTCTAGTCAATATCACGAAATATTGCTCTCTCTCTCTCTCTCTCCTTCTCTCTCTCTCTCTCTCTCTCTCTCTCTCTTTCCCTCTGTCTCTTTGTCGTGATGAATTTAATCCGGAGATGAATCGATAACGCAGCTTCAAGCCCGTAGAGTTAGAGGAACGAGAGTCGTTGGATGTAGAATATCCATGGACCAATATAACGCCGTGTGAGTTGGTCCTCGCATCGTCTCTCTGTTTCCATTTCATCGACTATGAATATTCTGCATTAGAAAGAGAAAGTCAGATAGAGATAGAGAGATAAAGAGACAGAGAGAGAAAGAGAGAGAGAGAGAGAGAGAGAGAGAGACAGATATATATATAAAGAGAGAGAGAGAGAGTAATATTTCAAGTATGAGTACGAGTATGAGTACGAGTATGAGTATGAGTATGAATACGAATACAAATACGAATACGAATACGAATACGAATACGAGGAATAGTTCCTAGGAGCGTATCGCTTTTAACCATAGGTCCCGATATACTACTATACATGCTCAATGTGTGTGCATAAATGTCAGATGCATTAACGATAACGCTTGATATTCGACCGTAGGTTTCAGTACAGGAAGAGAGCGAGGACAAGGGACCAATTTGCCCCCCTCTACCGGCCCAATATCATCCCTCTGCCTATAATACGACGACACAGCTTCATGAAACCATCGGCAATTATACAGGTTAGTGTCCAAGTTAACTTTATGCAAAAACTTTCGTTACATCTATTTTAAGCTTTATTATGGATTTTTTTTTCCCCCCGTTTTCTTTTTCCTTCTTTCTTTCTTTCTTTCTTCCATCTTTTTCTTTTCCTTTCTATTTTCTTTTTTTTCTTCTTCTTCTTTGAACGCTACATAATGCCCAATCACCTTTCTCGATCATTGCAATATGTGATATTGATTTTAATACTGTGGAAAAGTATTGTACGTCGGGAAAATTTTTTATTTTTACTTCGTTTGTTTTCGCATTGTTATCTCGTGAAACATTAAGAAAAATAAATAAAAGAAGTTATACGAAATATTTCAACGATACGGCAGATAGACACTAACGTTTCGAAGAAGAGAAAATGGTGATATAGACAATTTCTCCGTTTTATCGTGGAATAGTAGGAGAGAGAAAGAGAGAGAGAGAGAAAGAGAGAGAAAAAAAAAGAGAGAGAGAGAGAGAGAGTGGAAGTCTTCGAAACTGCTTTTGATTTTCTCTACTCGCTATATCGAATCTCTCGTGGTTCGCTTCGTCGGCGATATTCGATAGTTTCGTACTGCTATATCCCCAAAACTCAACGAGGGAGATTCCGTGGTGGATTGCCGGACCACCGTATTCGAATGACACAGTTTCGAGCGTCCTCCTAACTATTTCGTTCTCCGTGAAATGGCATTTCCCTTTCATAGATTTCACAACATAGAAAGAGCCCTTCCACTCTCTACACCTTATTCGAAAACAACATTTTTATATATTTCTTAGCCGGTTATACGTGAGAGAAAATTCGTAAGTTGGAAACTTTGAAAATTTACTTTCCAAACTGTTCGTGATTTCATCTCCTTCAACCATTTTCCCGTATATAACCTCGTCCTTTTTTTCTTTCTTTCTTTCTTTCTTTCTTTTTTCTTCTTCTTCTTTTTTTTCTTTCTTTTTTTCTTTTTTTTTTTTATTTATTTATTTATTTATTTATTTATTTTTTTTTTTTTTGATAAATAGATTTCGATTTAAAGTATATGGAAAGATTTCAAAGTTGGATATAAAGGGGATTGAGTTTATCGTATATATTCTAGGGGTATCTATAAAATTTATTATAAATACAAAAGAAAAAGAAGAAGAAATATATATATATATATAACTGTATAAAATATATATATATATACTGCATAAAATTATATAAATATTATACATATTCTATTTATATTTATATAGAAAATATTAAAATATTATGGAGAAACATTGAAAAAAATTGTTTTCATATATTACATACTTAAACGATACTTAATGAATATGACAGGCGCTTGTTCGCAAATTCTCAATACCATTCTCGTGCCATAAATAAATGTGTATCATTTTAATGTCCTATCATTATTGTAAAATTATTGTTCAGGTGTTACCGAGGTGCAACCAGTCGTTCCACTCTTACTGAATACACCGATCGAGCAACTTACCAGACCAATCCCAACGGTTCAAGAATATCCAGCCAATAATCCTCCACCTATACCACCCCCACCGGAAAAGTATTATGCCAGTACAGAGATCTGTAAGGTGAGCTTTAAAAAACGTAGGTTAGACACGCGATCGACACGATCTAGGACTCTTTCAGGAGTATTAATACAACCAACCACTCGAAAGGCAAAGCCTTATGTACTAACGTTAGAACGTTAGAATATAGAAGGGGAGCTTCGTGCTCTACACTTTGAGAAGTTTGTGATATCAGACCTTAAGGATCTTTCTCACGACGTTAATCTTCGAGGTTTTTCCTTCTTTTGATCCGTTAGAATTTCTCTTTCGTACTATCTTTATTTTTTCCGCGCATAAAACTTGAAAAGCAATGAAACTCTCACGGATATATATATATATATATATATATATATATATACATACTTATATATATATATACTTGTGAGAACTTTCTTACCCTTTTTCCTACGTCGAAGAATCGAAGTTGAATAAAAAAGTTTCTGGAACTTGGTACGATTTGCGCGACAGTGATATTTTATTATTTAATTTTAGTTCGTGGCGTTTACGAGACGCTACGGATTTTCATCCTTACGATATCGATCCGTTGATCAAATATAACGTATTCGATAGATAACTTTTTTCATTTTCCAAAACTTCGATTCGAGCAAAATTGAAAAAAAAGGGGGGGGGGAAGGGAAAAAAGAAACAGAAAAAGAGGAAAAAAAAAATGAAAAAAATAAATATTTACTTCGATAATATTGTCAAAATTTATAGGATATAATTGGATTTAACTCATACATATGCATTTATATTTGTTACCTTTTTAAATAGTTTTCATTTTCGATTCCTGATCCTATTTTCATTGATATTGCAGAGCCCTTTACCACCTTTACCACCTTCCCCAACGCCAAGCACACCGGCAGCTATGAGTGCGAAAGCGTCGAGTAGCCTGACGAGTTACAGTGCTGAGGACACACTTACCGAGGAAGAGGATGAAACGGCAGAGTGCATCCTGGACTTCCCACGGGAGAAGCTCAACATAGTCGAGAATCTCGGATGTGGATACTTCGGTGACGTACATCTTTGCGAGGTCGACAGGTTTCCCGGATACGATGACGTCTTCAGGAACACCGACAGCGACCTAGTCGTCGTTAAATCTTTGAAGCCAGGATCGTCAAATGCTCTTAGGTGAGTCGACCTATATATGTGTATATATATATATATATATAGATATAGTATCATCTACTATGAGTTATCTTTCTAACCTTATCAACTTTTCTCAGACTTTTTATTCTTTTATCATTGAAATATCAAGTGAATCAAATTCCATTTATAATAATTGATAATAAATGTGACAGATGATGGATCAATCGATTTGATCTAATAAAAAATAATCAATATAACGATATCGTCAAAATCAATACGTCTTTAATAAATCATGGAAAAAAATAAATATAAATATATATATATATAAAATATATATCAAAATCTTTATTACTTTCTAAATATCATTCACAAATTTCATTATCGATGTGAAATCCCATTGACTAGTAAGCCCACAGACGATCCCCAGATCGGAAACGAACCGAAAAGTACATTTCGTTGGAAAAATCAACGGCGCGTTATCGACGATGTAGAAAGGATCAGGAATCGAGTAGTCGTATGTCGAAGCTCGCTTTTATCAGCCACGAAACGTTTTATCGTTCACAGAGCAAGGGTACGCGCTCGCATAGGGTTGGATGGTTAGGGGTTGAACGGTTAGACTGTACGCGACGTTCGTTCTTTCGTTCGTTCGTTCGTTCGTTCGCTC